ATTTATATGCACCTATATTTTTGCATGTTAGCAAAAACTGAGGTCACAAATAAAAGAGTACCTAAAAATGTAATTCAAAGTGCCCATTTAAAAGGTACTCTTGTATACAAAGAAGAAGCCTTTCTGCCCAGTAGACTGATAGGAATCATTTCTAGTTACATCTTAAATGCATATATTACAGTGAAACACTGTTGGACAGTGCTCCGTCATCAATCAGTCTGTGTTCTTGAGGACACTATTTTTCAAGACATTTTCTTTAAGAATAAAGAGCTGTGTTGTAATGAATGTGTGCTAACTGGTTCCCCAAGCCGTTTGCATTTTTTTTTTATTTGTATCAGTGTCAGAGTTGAGCTTCTGTAAGAAATTTTTGCTGTATTTTATTTGTAGTCTTCATTATTTCAAGTTAAGCACACAAAACTCTTTAAGCACCCAGAGTCTGCACTAGTTCGTTTATATCCGTATTTAGTTAACATGTTACCATGATTGCTAATTTTCATGACAATTGTTATTGTACCATCAGTGCTTAATGGCAAGGCATCATTATTCAATGCTGGTCAATCAGGCACTAAGACATGTGCAAGACATCAGGCTGAACCCATATAGATGTCGTGCACTCCCCTGCTAATGAATGCAGTTTTGTAAAAAGGTTTAAACACGGTTGGCATCCTTAATGTAAGGTTTGCAAAAGCTTATTTGGGAACTGCTTTGTGTTTATACGGCACAGATCTAAACATGTCACAAACAGAGTTGGACCCATTGTGTGTGTGCATGTCTGAAGCTACAGAGAGGGGAGAATCATCTTGGGTTTTGCAATGTTGAAAGGCAGCACAATTTCTGGTGTGGTGTGGGTACGGGGAATGGATTTGCCAGGGATGTCAGTGTTTGGAAATGGGTGTGGGACTTTTTCTCCAAAGCAGTGATCTCCTTGTACATCGAAGGGGTGATCCCCTCGCTCCCTGGAAGGAAAGCAGACTGTGTGTGTGGCTCATCAACTCACAGAATAAAGTTGGCACAGGCTCCAGAGAGAGCCTCCGGTGTGACGGTGGTCAGAGGTTAGGCACTGCGACCAGAAGCTGGCAAAGAGGGTCAGGTGTTTAGAAATGGGGAGCAGAAGGAATTGCACCAGCAATAGGATGTGCTTTCAGCGCTGATAGCCCAGCAAGCGAGCCCGGCGTGCTCTCCCAGACATCCTTTAATGTTCCCCTTGCATCTGCTTTAGTTACTGTTTCTATGTGGTTTTGCACCCAAATATTTTGGGCTGCTGTCCATGATAAACTAGATGGAGCTTGGTTTAAAAGCACAGATTTTTTGACTCTTCTAACTAAAAGCAGAATGAGCCCTTGTGCTCTTCGAGTTTCGAGTATGAAAGGAGCAGTAGACATTGGCTGTTAACAAGCTCCAGCACGCCGGGCTCCAGCAGAACTTGGTGTGAATTCAGTGCACAAGCTGCATCGACTAAATGGTTAATTCATCTCATATCAACAGCACTATGATTCATAATGTAAACTCGAGGAATCCTTGATGTTTCAGTCACACATTCCTCTTAATTTGGCCATGCATTCTTTTAAAGCTACAGTGTGCTAACTTAATAAAATGCAGCATGCAAATGCACAAGTTTTTGCCTTCAGGCATTTTAGCCATGGATGTTTCAATGGGTGTCTTCTTTCAAGTATATATTCTTTCTTAAATTATTTACCCTGTAAACATGCTTTGCATTTTCAAAGAAGAATCTGGGCTTCCTCATTCACCAGATTTTGTTGAATTTAAGGTGTAGTAAAGATAAAAGAATATCATCTGCTTCTTGTGAGCGTGTTAGCCTTTGGGATTTTTTGTAGTGAGTGTTAGGCCCCATTTTCTTCCCCTTTGGTATTATCACTCCCTCCCCCATTTAAATTCCTTGATGCTTTGCCTAGAGCAATACCCACTGGCAGTGTCTGGCTGTGACAGCACTATAGGCTTCTCTACAGATGGGTCCTGCCAATGCCAACCATTGTTCTACCACTGTGAGCTGGCTTGACTGCGTAGCACCACGCAAAACCCCCTTTCCTCTTCATTTTTTCTTTACTCTAAAGGGTTGCCCTTGCCTATTGACTTTGAGATCTGAAATGTGCTGACACCCAGAACTTGTGTTCGCTGTCTGAGCAGCGACTCCCGGCATCAGGCTTCCACAGGCACTCTTTGCTGTCCCCTCCACAAGTCTGTCCTGCCGCTACCAGACCACTCTATCCTTTTTCTCCAAGCCCCATCCTTCTGGTAGTTTGCAGTTAGTTTAATTTTACTTGCTCACTTGAAAGTAAAACAGTAAAACTTGATGTTATTCTTTTTTAAAAGATATAAAATTAATCTTTAACTGTGGGCTTGAATATTAAAAGTATATAATACTTCAGTGTAGGAGTCTGTTGATAACATCCATCCTATTTCATGATTAATTTGTTCCTTTTAATATGATATTCTTTTGCTGCACTGTGCAGACTAATTCAGATTCCTAGAAATTGAACTTTGATATGTATTTCCTAGATTCCCACTGTAAGTGAACCTTCAATTAGCAGATACAGGTGGCAGCATGCCTAGCTCAATGTTCTCTTGACAAGGATTTTAGAGGCATGGACAGTGATTAAATAATCTTGCAATTGGGTGTGTACTGCCAGAGTATTAAAAATAAAGCATTTGGAGGATTTGGCTTTAAAAATAAAAAAAAATATAAAAATGTAATTTTAAATCGCAGATGATGAAATGCCTTTTCAGGGGCCAGAGATAGGAGGAGTTGATTTAAACACTCGGTATGTTACGTATGCCTTTGCCTAACTATGTGTTAGATTAAGCGAGTTTCACTCACAGTTAATCCTTTGTAAATTAGCATTATGGATGCCTTGGGGCCCACATCCCACAAATAAAATGGTTGTCAAGCCAGCTGCACTGTGTATTACTTAAGGCTGAATGTTTTAAGAGTTTTCATGCTTTTAATCTATTTCACTGCTGAGTTTCAATTTTGCTGAGTGTCTTTTCAGGAGTGATGAGGGTGAGTGAGTAAATATATATTCTGGTTTTCATGCATTTGCCTGGGCAAATCGTTTGTTATCAGGTGTTTGGCAGAGAATGTCACACCCCGCCACAAAAGACAAGCTTGTAAGTTCAGGTGTTAAATTGAAGTGCAAACCAACAAGAACCAAAAGCCCTTAATTAGCTTTATTTTGTTAGCCTGTTACACTTTTTTTTTTTTTTTTAAGAGTGAGAAACATCCCTCCCTCCTCCTCATCCTTTTGGCAGAGTAAATATTGCCTGTTAAGTTTGAATTAGCTGTCATCGCAAAAGAATTAATGCTGTGGTTGAGCCTTTCTAGTGAGGAAGGGAAAAATAAACGAGACAGATCTTAGTTCAGCTTTAAGTGATAAATGAGGACAAAGCAGCCCATTCATCTCCTGCTAGGAAAGTGGACACAAACACTAAAGCAGTTTTGCGGAAGACGTGTCAGCAAATGTGATCATTTTGTAACCTGTCAGGAGGATAGAGAGCTAGTCCTTTTAGAGTGTCACAGGGGAGGGTGTCTGTCTGATGTGACAGTTTTCATCCATCCATTTGCTTCTTTTTCTTTAGGTGGGGGGTAAGCAGGGAGAGAGCTGGAGTTGGTTAAAACTGCATTTTTCTTTACACTTTCCAATATAATTTATATGTATATTCACCCGCATCCAAATGAAAAACACTTACCAAGGAAAACTCCCCTCTGCTCTCTAGAGTTTCTTCTCTCTTTCACCATATGAAATATGCTCAGCTTAACACATTACATTCTCTCTCTTCAAGTTTGAGCCTTGTGCTTCACAAAACAGTTTTACTTCTTTTTACCATGGGTTAGTAAAAGCTTTGTTTAGATTTGTTTTGCAGAAGCATGAGGAAAAAAAAAAAAAGTAATAAAAATAAAAAAGAATAAAAATAATGTAGGGTTCTTTCATTATTGGTTTTCTTGGGTTGAGTTTGATTTTTTTGTTTTATTTTGTTTTGTTTGCTGTATCTCTCCAATTCTGATGATATGCTTCATGTACAAATATGTTTTGCAAAAGTTCTAGTTTCACAAAAAGCCTATAAAAATATTCTTCCTTCTCTGTGAGAATGGAAAAAAAAATTAGATTCATACAATTCAGAATGCTTTTGTAAAATACCTCAAATTCCAATATTAATTGATTTATCCATTTTAACTGACCTATTAAATTCAGGAAATTTGAAGCGATGTGACATCTGATTTTAGAAGCAGGGATTTCTCACAAAAGTGATTGAACAATATTATGACTTTCTACTACTTTTTATTAGTACTAATTTCCATTTTCTTAGGCACGATAGTAAGTGTAACGTTTGCCTATTACCATAAGTAAAGGTATGCTACAGAGACAGGAGATGCTTTTACAACATAAGCTTCACAGTTTGACACTTGCTTCTTTATATCATCCTTTTATTCAAAACTATCTTTTATACTTTTCCCTTGGTGTTTTAGTACAAGTAAGTATCTCATTGACATGTGTTTCCTTGAAATGTTGTACCTTAATGATAAAATCCCTTGAAAATTAATAAATTGTTTCTTTAAGCTGTGAAGATTTCAGAATGGCTTTAAGAATGTAATGGTATTTACAACTACAGAGCACGCTGCTTGGATTGCATCAGCTGAGGAGTAATAATTTAATTTGTTTTAGAAGGTTAATAAATTGTAACGTCATATACTTCAGTTATTCTAATATATGTGTATATGTATGCATAATTAAGAAAAGGCTCATTCTTTCCTGAATGCTAAAGTCGGATTTAATAGCTTCATAAAGAAATGTTTAGAAACACTGGACATTGAAAGAAATGAAAAGAATCAAGATATTCAGAATGGTGTAGGAAATCCTAAATTTGTGGGCACATGCCTTTTCTCCATAATAGTTTTCTTTGTATCTCTTTTTAATGTTTTATATATATTCTACTATTCTCACTGTTTTGTTTTTTCTTTTTGTCTCTTCTGTGTTTTTTTTCAGGATCATCCAAAACCGAATTTTGATTGTTGTTCTGGCACTCTTCATCATCCTCACGACCGCGATGGCTATTTATTTTTCTGTCAAGAGACGCTGATATCTTTGTTCTTCACTAAGCAGCAACAAACTGCTTGTTCTGAGTAATTAAGACAAAGTGGTCACATGAATCATTCTCTTGCACTGACAGAGTCTCCCTCTCTTTTCCACTATTCAACTCAGGTGCAAGTGGTGTAAAATATTTTGTATTATTGATGGCATAGTTGATGGCATGTGGGGTTGATTATTTTTCTTATATTTTTTGTCTTTATCTGAATGTTTCTGGAATCTTAATATTTGTTTGGGGGAGGGCTTGCTCTGGTCTAGAAAGACTTGGTGTGTGTCCAGTTCTACCCCAGGCAATTAGTATGTAAGTTGGAAGAGTTTAGAGAGGTAAAAGTGGTCTTTGCACTTTTCTTGTGCTATACAGGGTGTATGAATATCAAGCAGTATCTGACCTTATGTGATGTAGAATACGAGTAAAGCTCAGGCCAATGATGTAGAAAGTGAACCTGTCTCCTGTGGCTAACTCCTGATCATGAATCATGGTAATAGAGGTAAGCTGGTTAAGAACAGCAGGTAGTTTTTAAAAGAGAGCAACCTTTAGATGATGTTTAATATCTCTTGTAAATCCAAAACATTATTTAACTTTTTATTTTTAATTTAAGCTTTCTTTTCTGCTTATTCAAAACACTTCCATCAAGATTATGATAAAGCATCACTTGCCCAAAAAGGTAGTTGTGACCACAGTCCATCTGTTGAATCAGTTTCAAATCTTCCAATGTTGATAAGTGCACACACTAGATCTTTATTAAAGGTGTACAAAGATACTTCCCTATTCATTGCTGATTGAAAAGAGATCCTAAATAATAGTTTAGTGGCAAGCACTTGACTACCATTAAACAAAAATCTAGATTTTGCATATTGGCCTATGTTGACACCATGTGTTGAAAATATTTTTAGTGTATTCAATTCTGATGTGATGTTCCCCCTTTTAAACAGAAACTGTAAAAATATTAATTTATACATGCTTTTAGCTCATACAATATATCAGAATTTCATCTTCTAGGCTACCTGTGTGTAAATGAGCTGTGTTTCTCTTCCTGTGGGCTGTGCCTCTCCTATAGATATGTGTGGGTTATTTGGCTTATAACTAAGCTTATAGCTCCAGCAAGGATCATTTTCTGGTGATGTAGTAAAGTAATTTTCATGATAACTTTTCAACTCATTGTATGTAATCCCTTACAAATACTACAATTTGAGAGGGATTTTATGCCCTTGAACTTAAGCTCTAAAATGCTTTTGTGAAACAAAAAGCTGAAAACTTTCAAACTCCCTCAAAATTAAGTAGGAACTAAGCACCAAATTTTCATGTGTGCCTTAGATCTTTTGGGGTTTCAGCGTCCATGGGGTCTCTGACAACTTGCTGTGCTGTCTCTGGAAGTTGATTTTGGGATAAACACTTGGGAGTTGATTTTGGCCCCAAATGTGGCCCATCTCTTTCTACGTGGAAATTAATAACCCAGCTACAAGGACGTTGCTATTGATACTATAGCTAAGACCTGGAAACATGGTGATAAATGCAAAATAAAAGGATCCAGAAGAAAAATGGTACTCACTAAAACAAGTTGAAGCATGTATGGTCAACTGCGGGTTTTGAGTTTCATGCAACTTGTGTCTGAGTTCAAAAGCAGTTTCTATGCCAGATTTCTCCTCCAGCTCATGTCAATGGCTGTAGGGTTGGGCTGGTACCAAAGTTCCTGGGTAATACAAAAACCACGTTTTTGGGAGGTGCTGCTCTGTACAGCACTGCTTGGCCATGTTCAGCTACTTACCTCGACAGCCCTGCACTGCGGCAGTGGGACCTCCTCGTCACCTGCAAGTCTCTGCTGAGGCACCCTCTCCTTTCTTACTTGCAAGGTGTGTGGTAGGTATCACATGGCTCTCAAACACGGAAAGATTTGGGTGTTCAATGCAGTGTGGAGGCTGGCTGACCTTTAGTCGCAACATGCATTCAAATTAAGCATTTAGGGTTGTGTAAGCGGAACCCTGGCCGTTAGCTTGAAGTGGTGGCACCGAGCTGAGTTCAGGCAAATTAGGGAGAAGCCTGGCAGTGTTAGAAGATATTTATCCTCTGCTAAGCAAATTAGGAGATGCATATTTTGTAAGGCAGAAAACCGTCAAGACGGGAACCTTAAGCTCCGTCTGTTGCCTAGACATTTTCAGTGTTGCCTCAATAATTTAACTATCATGGGGATTGATTCATGACTACTGATCTTAACAGTGACCTATGACTAGGTTTTGCCCTCTATCTAGCCACCTGCTGGAATCAGCAAAAAGCTGAAAGGAAGCTAGTTTTCCTTATCCCAGTATAAATCTAGGGCATAGTGTCACATCAGATACATCCACTCAGACGGGAATGAGGGAGAGAGAGAGACTGCCACACGAAGCCTTCATCTTCACTTTT